AGGTTTCTCTCAACTTATCTTTCCGCAAACAATCTTGTAAAATCTGTATTGATCTTCTTTATCAATATATATTTTAAATTTGAAAAGTGTGTTTGTATTCATCCCCCCCCCCCCTTCTACAAACTGTTTAGTATTCTTGTAGACCCTTTTGGGACCAACAACCCCCTGCAGTGCATTTAATGCAATGAGTATAAATACCTGAGAAGACTTTTGTTCTCAGGTACACTTTTTTCTTCCTTTAAACTCTTTTCTATCATGTTCTTATCTTCTTGTGCAAACCTGCTTAGTGATTCTCAAAGATTGTTTAGATTATATTTTCTTACCTTATCTTATTCTGTAACAATCGGTAAATTCTGTATTGATCTTCTTATATCAATAAACGAATATAAAAGATGAAATTTGTCTGTTAATATTCAACCCCCTCCCCCTTCTACAACTTTTATACATTTAAACTCTTGTAGAACACTTGTTGGGACCAAAAAGTGGTATCAGGGAGCAATGTTCTCATTTCTTTCTTGAAAACTTTTTACTTGCTATTTTTAAAAATGGCTCTGCAAAACACAAGCACTAACTATCATTGACAATGGTTTTCTTGCTAAACCTCCTAGATTTAGCAAGAACAAATTCGGTATTAGGAAAGATTAAATGAGTCTTTTTCTAGAATGTGTGAATCCCGAGATCCCTTATTGCATTTAAAATAGATCCTATGTTCCATTTGTAATCTCTCATGCAGTTCTTGCAACTGCTACTACTGCTGCTATCCTTGAAAGGCAGATTCCAAAGCTTCTTCATCAATAGAGCGATGAAGACAAGAATAAAGTGGCTTTCAATACTAAAACCCACACTCCCTGACTAGGTACATCATTCTATCATGAACCTCAAAACCTTAAAAGCCATGTGAGACACACTTTGTGCCAAATATCTATACTATCTTATTAAGCAAATTTAACAAAAGTCTTTAAATATTAAAATACTAAAGGACCAAAATACCCTTTATACTACCTTTAGGTCACTTTTTCACCCCCTCCTCTTCTCACATACACTCACCTCCTCACATACATTCACCCTCTCACAACTGATTTTTTTAAAATTATAATTTTAAATTTACATTTTATACTCCCATAATTAATTAATTAATTTACTTTACGTCATTTACTTTTAAATGTTTCATTTTAAACCATTATCAAATTAACATACATAATCGTATATCAATTAAAACATGTTTAAAGAATATATTTTTATTTTAACAAGTTACATCATTATAATCGTCTCGTTAATACCTTCGAAATGAG